GACGTCACAATTGCAAAACCATGTGAAGCCCTCGGTAACGACGATTGTTGGTTGCTAGCTGCTGGAAAGTTAGCTGGCTGACTTTTTTTCTCGATGTGAGCATCCGACCGTTCGCGTCTACAAGCTTAGGCCGGTGTGACTAGTGTTGAGTTAGTTTAATTACCAGGATAGCAACAACGATCATTTTAGCTGGCACTTATAAACTATGCTTATTGTACATGTGCTTCTGCGTGAGAAGACGCGAATTTGTGCTGAGTGTCGGCAAAATGTCGGCCAGCGCGAATGACAACGACGGCAGGATCACATCTATTCCTTGGATGGTTAGAGAAAAACGTCAGCCATATCCTTATTAGGACGTTTGGTTCTAGGAGCTCGAAGCACAGAGTACGGTGTCCCTAGATGGGAGCCCCAGCTCTCTTGTCAGCAACGCGGGACCTACTGCCCTTACAGACCTATGTTATTGTTGTCGAGGCCTACCTACTCACCATCAAGGCCATGTTTGTTTGTCCCGCTCTTCTGACAGAGTACTCTGTTCGTCCACAATACCGATGAAACCAGAAATAGCTCTGCTGGACTAGAGTAACGGTAGGACAGAATAGAAGAGAATATTAGTGAAAAAAAAAAAATGCAGATTTCCATCTTTGCCAGTAGTTAGCATATAATTACCTTTAAATATTTCCTTGATCTTTTGAACGTTGGTTCGTCGTAAAATGTGAGAAAGGATTATGAGCAAGCTCAATAGTGATAGGAGGTCATCTGTAAAGGATTATGCCAAAATAATTCTTTTTCTTTCGGCAGGATATTAACGACATGCTAATCGTTGCGTGGGTCTGTTTTTTGAAAAAGTGCGTATTGCAAATACTGCAAACTTAAAATTAAATAAATAATAATTTACGCACAATGCCCGATTCAGATCTAGTTATGCTTGGAGGCGTTTTTCGGTTACATCGCAGGGATTTAGATTAGACAATGAAAACAAGTTCAACATATATATATATAGTTGATACATTGGTATACACATACCTATCGATAAAAACCAACCTGTGCTCTAATGTAAAAAAGTGTTACGACTCCAATTGTGATTATTAAACCTGAAAAACGCTGCAATGCGAGCAGTGACGTAATAAATAAACTCGCCTAGGCTGGCTTAGCTGCCACACGACCTCGCAAACATATCTTTAAAGTATTTACTTAGTCTGGATATATACGTGCATAGTGTATAAATACAACCTTTGAGTAATTCGTGTGAGATGAAGTACAATGATTTTTCTAATCACAAACTGACAAACGTGTATACTATTTTGTATAATTTGAGAACAAACTTAGAGTAAGGGCACCTATCGACACTCCTTGGCGCATCGCGTCGTTATATCTCTTAACAAATATATTAACTACATAATCATTTATGCTATCATTTGTATTTGAGAAATTTGTAACGCTGACTTGAAGGCGTACAATTAAAACTATGAATTTTTTTGCGTTTTCGTTATTAATCCTCGCCAATCCTTCCGTAGTGTCCATCTAGGCAGGCGACAAGTTTGCTGCTTGCATATGGTACACCAAAAATACATATAATATGTATCTAATTTATACAGATCCGTTTTAGAAGGCTATTTTTCTCGTTGTGAATAGAGAAAGTTTGTCAAAAATATCACATTTAAGCAGCTCGATAATATGCCTCATATGATTTGACTAAACTTGAGGAGTTTTTTTTTCATTACAATTTGAATCATTTCAAAAATGATCAACATTTTGAAACTTTATTTCATTAAGGAAACCGAATGTAAAGCGTAATTCCATTTAGGCATATCTTATTCAAATATAAGGGTGTCTATTTGACTGCTTTTCTTCTGTAGTCCTTGTTTTGAAGAATAACCTACAGACACCCTATTCATACAAGCGTATTGTTCGTAAGGTGGCACGCACGCTGGTCAGACCATTCAGGATTTAAGAACATTTTTCATTGAACTCATAGCATTGGTTCTAATCTATTCGACACTCCTAAACTAGTTCTATATTTTAGAAATAGTTCTATACTAATCCATTCAAAATCACTCGGGTTGGCTATAAGATTATTAGCAGAAGATTAAATAGCGCTTTAGGTGGATACTCTAGTAACGGATGGGGTCATAAGCCAACTTATCGTCTGCGTTCCTGCATACACAATAACTACGGCTCATGAGGGCCGCCCGTATTGCAGATGACCAGATCGAATTTAGGAAACCAATGGCAGCGTGACCAGCTTCCAACTTCTTCTAATTGCTGCCTATTATTTTCTTTGTCTTGTGGAAAGCAGAGCCTATGTCAGCTATTATATCGTCCTGTATGCAAGGGAAGTGGCCATATATTTTTTGAAACCTTTAGTAACTAGTAACGTATTGGCTAACAAATATAATACTAGTAGAAAACCACATGGGGTGTGAAGGTTTTGAATCTGTGTCGCGTGTGCAGGTGTTATCCTGTTCAAGTCATTGAGACAGTTTTATATTGAATAATTGTATATCATCTGAAGCTCCATACTGTTTCCGCTTCTCCTAAATAATTTTGTTACCCTTATTTCTCCGAATTAATCCCAGGACCTAATTCCTATTCATAAGCGACCGAATGGACATTTATTCTAAACTGAAACCTAGATGAATAACAGAACCATCAGCGTACACGCTTGTCTTCATCAAACGTTTCAAACCTTTCCGTCGAGCTAACTATGCCGCAAGACCTGAGATTAGGACAAGGCTTGCGGTAGAAATGCCGACTGAACCAGAGTCGAAATCAAAGACGGAAGCTTGTATGACGCGATGTTTCTCAACATAATTCCATGATAACATTCAGTTGACTACGTAAAAACTGAACGTCGTAGATCTGACGAACTCAGATTACTGCATATGTTTTCTTATCAACTGAAGGAAAAGACGGGCTTAGTAATGTTTACATGTTCCCGGTGGACAATACGACCCCAGGGGATGGTTAGCGTTGCGTTGTCTTTGCCTTTGAAAACAACTACATAGAAGGGCTTTATTCGTTCATTGTGGATTCTATTACTGCGATAATACGTACAGGCGATTATAAAGTTTTTCCGTCGTTACACCTTTGCTGAATAGCTCTTTGAGGAATCCTATTAATTCTTCTTCTAACGGCACAATACACTGAGGTCTGGTCGGTTACAGAGATTGCTGATGCTCACGTATATGAAAGCATCTGGTTAACACAATGCAATCTACCTTGTGTTTGTTTGTTTGTTTGTTCTAGCCTACTAAACTATGCCACTTAGTATGCGTTGGAAAAAGCTATTTGGGGGTTCCGCGCGGTGTTTCTTAGTTTCCAACAGCTTTTCTACGTTCATATCGGTGGCCAACGGAACTACACTGTAGCAGATACCTGGTCTTAACCACACAGCGAATGCGATACTCCATTTTTACTTCGAAAAAGTTCTCCTTTCCCACTTATGTTTATCAGCCAAATGTGATAAGTCTAGTCGGCACAACAACTTCTACCATCTGAACTAAATGACGCCAATAAAACAGAGCTAGCCTATTACGCCAAGTAACGTGCTACATTTACTAGATAAAAGCTGCAAGAATTGAGGAACAATTTGGCGATAACCGTACTCATCTGAACTCTACAAAAATATTCCACACAACAAGCTAGTTCAGGTAGGGACTTTGACAAACAATAAGAGAGCATTGGTAGGGATGAACTGTAGCTAGATGGCTATATTTCGCTCACTCATAGAAAGAGTAGGATTTGTGTATATTTACCCCAAAACAAATCGGAGTCAACCCTTTTGCGCGAGTTCAGTGTTACAATCTCCATGCGCGAAATGTACCATCGGCACGACAAGAGACGACTGAAGAGGATAACGTTTATTGCGCAGAGAATATAACGCTCAGAAGTAGATTGTAACTGCTATATTAAAGTTACATAGTATTGACCAAGCAATCATTACCATAACAACTTTATCAACATTTTACTTACGTTATACGTACAACGTTTACTACGTTAATGTAACGATTCAGTGTTGGTGAAACGTTCTTTTCAACGATCGCCGTATGCTAGTGACGAAGGTCTAGATATCAACATATCCTAAATGAACGTGGAAATAGTTGGCTAACAAAAATTTAGTCAATATCTGGTCGCCGCTATATTGAATACGACCATAGGTCGTAGATGCCCATCGTCGTCTGATACGCCATAGCGAAATTCATTGTTTTCAGCTGATTGACTTCTAATCGTTTCGGTCAATAGATAAAATGTAGTATTTCGGCTTGTCCACGATTCGAGGCCCAAATCTTAACACTGCCACTGAATTTATAATATATGATGATACGAACATACAGTGGGCAAATTATTTTTTTACCCATACTTTGTCTCATTATAACTATCTATTGTCATTCGCACGTCAGAAGACAAAACAAATAATAACTGACCCTGAACCGATATATGACCCATAGAGATATAAACGTCATGAATTTTACTGATTGACAAATATCTGGTAGTGTGCGCTATTGGCAGGGCAGAATGAGCACGGTTGTACGCAATGCGGACACAATTATTCCTTTCCATTTGCCATATCTAAGTAGTGCATCGGGGACAATAGGTTTTTAGGTGCAGAGAGTCCTTTAACCCTGTCGCTCTAATAAATTGAAATAGGCTTTTCCACAAATCCCTACACATTAGAAATTGAACTAGGTGGTAAATGATAACTGCTAACTCGGAAAGGATGATTTCGAGCTGTCATAAACACTTATTTCGAGAACTGCATACTTCTATAACCGCCAATCATCACTGTTAAGTAGGGAAAGGGCTTATAACGTAACGTTACTTCAAGTTCATTAGATCAGTTGGATTTAAAGGGCTACAATTAAGAACAATTTGGATTTCTAATCTGCATTAGCATTTACGCTTACTTGACGGTATGCTTGAAGAGACGATATGACCTTCACTTTAGAATTAGTCATAAGTATAAAGTGCACTCCTGTTTCTAACGTCTCCTTTCTTTGCAGGGGTGTTTCAGCTGCTAAACGGCCTGTGTCATTGGTTTGAACGGGACAGGATATTTAAGGTCTATTTGGGTTTTCAACCGGCAGTTTTGGTTTACAAACCTGAAGCTGTAGAAGCTGTTCTCAATCACTCGACCAACTTAAAAAAACCCGTCCTTTATTCGCTGCTCAACTCTTGGCTTGGAACTGGGCTGTTAACAAGGTATGTAACGAACGTTCTCCAAATAGATTCCAAGCTTCAGCGTTCAAAACTGCGAGTCGGAATTCCTCGGACCTACTCCGCGCTTTTATCGAAGTACCCTAAAGGATTAGTTCTTTGAGATGCTTCTATGACCGAATATTACTTTCGCACCTCCTCTTCAAAACTCATTCTAACAGACTGTTGACGCTGAACCTCCGGTAATACTAGAAAATATATTGTTTAGCTAGCTTTATATATTTCATAATGGGTGGTTCAGCTTTGAGTATAGGAAAGTTCTACATGGCTATTCCATTAGACCTAAAGAAGATACATCTTCCAGAATGTTTCTCCTATGGTCAAAACGTAATTTTTATTCTTTCATTATTGAAACTTTCTGGCAAGAACCCCCCAAAAACAATACTGACTTATACCAAGTAGGGTAAGAAAAATTTCTGACAATGCGGTGATTCATTTTCGAGATATTTTAAGGAACTTTGCTTGTACAACCGAATCATACGATGAGGACCTAAAAGTGGGGAGGGTTGGGTAGGCAGCACCTTTCGAGACATAAAGGCAGGTGCACCTTAGAGGAAAACTATACGCGATGGATGGTTGATCGCAATGGATCAAACTCCTTATTCTCATTCAACCTTCGACTTCGGAATTGGAAATTAATAATACCACTTTACTATATGATCCGTGAATGATTTTGCAATTGGAACCCCCTCTTTTAAGATTTTCTCCCAGTATATAAGATGTAGAACTTAACGTGACGGTACAGTCTCAAGATAAATTCAGTTAAAGATAGTCAAAAGATAGATCAGTGTAAATATATTCAATCATTATAACTGCCGCTATGCGTCACAGTACCCAAAGTGAATTCACTCATTTGAAACGCGCGCCGATAGGAACTGTTTACGTATGCGCTTAATTAATGACATATCAAATAAAGGCCTATAATGTTATTTACCTACCAAACCAAAGTCGGCATAACAACCCCGTTAGTATAGGCCTATGCTAACTTAGAAAGTTTATTGGATTCATAAAATTAATGCTGTCGTTCTATTCAAAGAGAATACTTAATAACCAACCTCCATCTGAATGGTTGTGGAAGTCACCAATGCTCTATTATTCTTTGTAGAGCTTTTGCGATAAACTCTATTCAATACATGCGGTATATATAAAAAAATGTCGCTTTTCAATGTACGCGTTCAGATACATAGGTATTAATAGAAAAAAACCGGCAGAACAATTTATGGTTTTCACATAAAAAGGAAACGATGTGCTTCTTTTGCTTCCGTAGTGACCTTAACCTTAGACTCCTCTTAACATTAGCATAGCTTTTAGGCAGTATGGTGCCTTTGAAAACGCTGAATAAATGTGCATGCGTAGCGCAAAGATACAGGCCGTTATTTCCAGACAGATGGAAAACCTTTGGAGTCTCACCCTTTAACCAAGCCCTTCATCTCATGCAAACATTAAGGGCATAATCCTTCACTGAAAGGTTTCTAACCAACTAGGCCAACGTACATATGAATCCATGGTTATTTCCGCGTTCCAATCGTTTAAAGTTAGATACCGTTAGTAGTGTAAATCTTATGTCACGTTAAGACAGTGATGTACCATTCAACTTGGTGTGTAATTGAAGACGTCTGATCCACTACTAGCATTAGATTGGATTTCTCTATAGTAACTAGAATTATTGATATGATATGACAGTAGGTATTCGGATGTAATGAGGGTTGCATCGTACGTTATGCGGGCTAACGGGAGGCTCAATGAACATTTCAGGTATCAGACGTTCAAATCTTTAATATTTTGTTGTTTTCCGAATGACGAGAGTACTTATCTTATAGTCCCGGACGGCCTAAAGGTACTTTTTTTTTAAATATCGATGATTCTAAATGGTAGAAAAGGATCTATTCGGCGGGTGATTGATGCCCATAAATGCGTATTTAGAGCTGTTTTCTACGATGGGTTCTCGGTTCCTATCTGCGTGTATCACCATTAGCGGGGATATACCTTTGACACATACACAATTGTCTGATGTAACATAGAATGTCATCTGATGATAATACATTACTGAGTCATTCTAGCATTTACAGATATCGTGTCAAGCTGTCGGTCTTAAGACAACTCGAACTACGAGAGCTAAATAAAATGAGTGTCCTTTTAAAGTTGCTTTCCAAAGCTAGGTGTTAAGCCATCCGTTGAACTTGACTGCGTTCGTTCAGCGGGCGCCGCGACCTCTCTCTCAATTCTAAATACTGTCGCTCCTGGGTCTTTTTCGGGTAGTAATCAAGTAGTTGACCTTTTTTTTAAGATGAAAAATAAAGCACGTATTTTTTCTTCTAGCGTGCTGCTTGGCAGTAATTTCATAAAATGATTACACTTATTAGACTCTTGACGGTCCAGTTTACAAAGTAATTTTTAGAACTCAATCCCTTCTTGATCTTTTTACTGGTACTGGATTTACTGGTAGGCTTAAGCATGTTATTTGGACCTTTATTGAAATGACTGAATGGGCTGATAGTAAGTCTGTAATACTCTGAATTATTTAAAAATTAAGCAGTTTCAAAAAAAAATAATATTATTACTCCTGTTTTCTATGCTTTATATTTTCCGCATAGATCTAGCAAAAAGGAATAAATGACAAGATTCAACAGGAAAGTAGAAAACTGGCTATCTACCACGTTGTGCTTGAGAACAAACATTGCTGAAATTGGGTGGCGTATGAATGATCGTACTACCTACAGTAGAATGTGGATCGTGTTCACGTTTGAAAACTATTTCGTTATTGGTACGTTTTATTATTAAGCGTTTTATGAGTTCTAACGTAAAACATCCAACTGCCTTGGCCAATTACGTGCGACTTTGCCTGAATGATTACGATCGTTTTCATATTTGTGTGACCTTTTTTCAATCATTTTTATTTGACGAGCCGAAATACATCGACTGTTCGTCGAACATTAGCTTCAAAGATGCTGCGGAAAGAAAAGGCATCGTTCGTACGGCGCAAGGTATTGCCAGTAATCGGCCACTCGGTCACCTCTTCCTAACAGCCATGAGTATCTCTAATGTTCCGCATTTGCAATTGAATTAGAACAAATGGCTTCGGCGTAGGCATCGGAATTTGGGAGGTAGAAAAAAGCTATTTTTCGTTTGTTCCAGAAGTAGTGGTTAGCTGTCAGTTGACAGAAATCATAAAGGCCTTTTGTCAGCGTTTCGGCGAAGGCATATGGCTCGAAACGCACGCTTACGTGGCCTCATTTTACAATATTAGGTGTGACAAGTCACTGTAGCCATTTCTACATAACGAAACCAATACAAAGTATTTTATGCACTCGCCTTTTTTAAATTTCAAGTTCAAAAGGCTGCGTATCTAAACTCTAGAGCAAACAGTCTAGAATATCAGCAGCAGATCGCACTGCAGTAACGCAGACGCTTATTGAAATATTGGCATAGTATGTCGATTTATAGGTGTTAAGCTTCTTCTACGATTGTAAACGACAGAACACTAGTTCCATCTTATCTGAAAATGAGCGTTGCCGATTGCTTGAGAAATATCTTTACTAGAATACATCGGAAATAAACTTCCTCTCTTTGCATGTATTATTCAATGTATTCTAAATCTTATGCTGGTACATTTGTAAGCTGATTTTATTCAAAACCTTTTTTTTTTACCCAACGAAATGTTCTTCAGTTTACCGCTTTAAAAAGTGATAGCGTAGAACTCACGGAATAACAATGATAAAAACTTGTTTCTGTATTGTTTTCCTGTTGTTATTTCAATGGACTTCTATACAAATTCCACTCAAACACAAATTCACGTACTGTGCAAAAACTAGCCAGATGTAATGAGGACAATACACAGCAAATCTAAGGTACGTCTGAGGCAACGTATTTTCTTTTTATATGTTAACCCTTCCTCTTTTAATAGTATACCCTATTTTTTAACCCATAAAACAAACATCTCCAGTTTAAGGCCCGAACCTGTTGTTAGGTGTTGTGGTACCGAATGATCCTGTTTCAATTTAGCCAAATATTGCTAGTTCAGGAGTAAAAGAGGCTTTCTCTAGAACTTACTAGACGCAGTTCACTTAAGTAAATACTATTTTTTTTTTTTTATGGTCGGCTACCTGGCTAGACTTAAAGCAGGACCTAATTTAGTAATTTTTGTCGTTTATAGCCAATAAGAAGTTACTTGCCATACACAGATGAGGTAATTACGCTGCGGGTCCATTAGACGAAAATATAGAACTAAAGCAGGTATTTAACGTTTTGGTTGCGGTAATAATATGGTATACAAAACAATCAAAATGGAAACAATTCATTCACATTGAAGATTTCATAGTTGACCTAAGGGCGGGCCTTTTCTTGATACGCCTTATTTTGAGTCGAAAACGAAATCCAAGTGGGTTTAGCTAGTTTGGTAATGGTAATAGCGAAGCTTTACGCCCCTTTTTTTATAATAAACTCCTAACAGTGGTAAAATTCGGCTGTATTATTCGTTCGCAGTAGTAACTGTAAGACTCAGATTCGTTTTGTTAATTTGTTCCGCAAATAGTTAAATAACATAGATTAGATTAGGTAAAAAGTCAGGGGATCACCCCAACTGTTGCTTTCGTGTTGTTTTAGTGTACGTCTAATAACTGTACTAACGTAATTCCATAAATGTCAGGCTAGATCAGTCGAGTTCGCCTGGATTTTTACTCGAAATCTTAGACGAAAAAATAACCCTTTACCACTGTCAGTATCTTTAAGCGTTCGTTTACCGTTCAGTCGCGGTTTCTAAACGTCGCCAAATTAGAATCAACATCTAATATGTGCAGTGGTAAAATGTAAATTCAATTGTCAAGGCAATACCTCCCCCTGAATTGTCGATCCTTCATGTCCACGTTCGCGATATCTAGTGAATCATAACTGGCCATTGTTTTTGTACGGAATATCTTTAAATTCAAAGAACAGAGTAAAACGGATCTAAAACATTTTGCTCTAGGAATTCGGAAAGGTCTTCTCAT